TTGGCTCTTTTGCGTGTATGTATGTATATATATTTACTTGCCAAAGCCTGATGGCATGTTATATTTGGACAGCTCCCAATATTGATGTGAATTGCTTATACAATAACCCAGCTGCTCTGCTGGGAAAACAAAGCACGCAGAACTAACAAAGGAAACTAAAAAGCCACGCATTTATCAGTCCTGGGAAGTGTAACAGCCAGCAGGTGTCAGTGATGCTAGAGGAATGGAATAGGAAGGTGCCTGCATTTTAATGGAGAAAGTAGGAGAAAAATATATATATATATATTTTCTTTTGTGGCTGCTTGGTTTGTGCTTTTAGCATGTGGTTTGTAGAAGAAGATAGAAAGATCCTAAAGCAAGGCTAAATTCTTTAAGGAACTAAAAAGGGCAAGCTAAAATACATTTAAAATATATGAGCATCCTTCATGATGATGGTGGTTGCTGTGCTAATTCGGAGCGGCTCACCATGGATACAAAATGTATCATGATGGGGCTCACCTTCCTTGCACATCTTCATTTTGCATGTATGCTGATTGAAATAACCACTGCTCGGGTGCTTTCCCGTGGTGGTGCAGCCACCCAACTCATGCAATTCACTTCCTGGGGTGTACTCCCTTTCTATTTTTCTCTCTGCTCAATGGCTGTTACCGCAGAACTGACAAACATCGGCATGCGCAGATGTAATGTCCCACTGTAATTACCCCATCTACACCCAACGTTGGTGTGTGCTTTTCCACCGCAGGCAATGGCATTTCCATGACAAGCCTGCACAGAACAAAGAGGATTGAAGCGTTTCCTTGTTCAGTTCATGTACCATCATAGTGGGGATTGTGAAGGCGGAGGGCAACTAGGAAAAGGTGAGCCCGAGCGGCAGCCCCCATCTGCTGGTGACAAGATGCGAAGCAGTAAGCTGTGCAGCACGGTGGTCACGCTGAGACCCTGACTGTTTTAAGGGAGAAGGGTTCGTTGTGACTGCATAGCAAAGCTCAGGATCTAAGCGTTCAAAACGCGGGGTAAAGTCACAGCAGGGATCTGAGCGTTTTCTATTGGCACTGCTGGCACAGACAGTGCGAAGGGAGAAAGGAGGAATGAAAGAAACCGCAGCATTTTGGTGCGTGCCATGAGGTTGCCGGCGTCAGGATCAAGAAACCAGAAAGCAAACAAAAGCTCAGAACGGCAGAATAGTTTGGGTTGGACGGACCTCACAGCCCATGCCGCCAAAACCCCTGCCGCGGGCAGGGCTGCCCCCCACCAGCTCAGGCTGCCTAGGGCCCCATCCAACCCGGCCTTGAGCACCTCCAGGAATGGGCCAAATGCTTAAATGGTTGTTATTATTATTATTATTATTATTATTATTATTATTATTATTATTATTAGTACACAGTTTTCCCGTTAGGAGCGTGCTGGGGGCGGCAGCTTTCCTCCGCCGGCCGTTAGAGGCGGGCCGGGGCCTCCGCGCCGCCGCGGCAGCCCGGTCCATGGCGCAACTCCTAACGGCGCGGCGGGGAGGGGCTCGGGCGGACCGGTCCCGCCGCGCAGCTCCCGCGGCCGGGGTGGCGATACGCGGCCGCGCCCGGCTTTGCTCGGCGCGGCTCAGGCCAGGCAGGAAGCAGGAAGCCGCCGGCACCGGCTGGGAAAGCGGCGGCAGCGGGTAGGCGAGGAGGGCGAGGGGTGGCCGTGCACCTGCCGCGGTCCCGGGGAGGGCCGGGAGGGAGCAGCTACGGCGCGGTGTGCCCGGGAGCCCGGTGGGAGTGCAGTGGCCAGCCCTAAGGCACTTTGACCTCGGCCCGCGCCCGGCGTTCGGGTGCTGGGCCGGCCTGTGCTCCCTCGGCCCCGGGGTGGTTTGTAATGCGGTGTTACGGGCCCCAGGTACGGACTTGCAGGAACCTTCGGCCTGTGTTTTTTAACCTGTTTCCCGCTTGCTGCATTAACGTTAACCGGCATGAAACTGTGTCAGGGGAGGGGCAGCTGGGGATTAGGGAAAGGGTCTGCACCACAGGGCGGTGGGCATGGAACGGGCTGCACGGGGCTGTGGGCACGGCCACCAGTGATGGAGTTCAAAGAGCGTCTGGAGGATGCTTTCAGACATAGGTTTTGATTTGGGGTGTTCCTGTATGGAGCCAGGAACTGGACTTGATATTTGTGAGTTTCTTCCAGCTCCGTATTCTATGGTTCTAAACAGATATGGACATTTAGGTTGCCATACAAGCTCTAAAGCCAATGGATCTGACCATTTCTGGGCGAGGCTTTGCTGCTGAGTATTACAATATGCCTCCGCTATGTGTATGTCTGAAGGCTTCTTGAACCCACACCCTGAGGACTTGGATTTGGTGTATGAGAAGCAGCGGGCAGTGTGTGCCTGTCCTCAAACACAGCAGTGCGCAGAGAGGCAGGCACCAGGCGAAACTCCACACTGTTCCTCCAGCACAGTCGAACCATGGTTTGCAGTATTTCTGGTGAGAAAGGCCAGTTACGAATGACCATGTTTTCCTGAAAGAGGGAGAGAGCTGTGTTTCAGATGATGCAGTGGAAGCCTGGAGAAATAGCATAAAATTTCGAAGGTTAAATACATGCATACACGATGCTAAGTACTACTGCTTCTGAGTGTTGCTTCATGCATTGCAGTACAGCCAAGAGGAACTACAAGTATTTGCTCACCCTTAGGTAAAAATGTTGCTGAAAATGGAAGTAGAAAAGACCAGTTCAAGTGATTGAAGTTTGTCTTTGTGCTTCATTTGTGAAATGAAAGTGTAACAAATGTGTTGGTAAATTACCAGTTATTTGTTGTTGTCTGTTAGTGCCCTTTCTGAATAATAGCTTGTTTTAAGAAACCAATCTCATCTACAGGAGGATATGATCTTTATAACCTGCTCACGACTTTTATTGTCACAAGTTTCTTGGCTTTTGTGTGAGAAGTTTTATTTGCTAGGAGAGGCATGACCTGGAAGCCAGAGAAACTTCTGGATATACAGAGATAAGGTGTTGACAAGGCAGTAAGAACTTGAGGCATGAAACATGTTGCAGACTTTGCACAGCCGTGGTCTGGGCCCCCTCCTGCACTAGATAAAATGAAATCAGCCCCTGCCAAATAGACTCCAAGTGTAATTCCAATGTCCAGTCCTCCTTGTGGGGCTACAGGGCTCTGCGTTTACAATAGGGATTTAGGAGCTTGTGGTTTTAGCTTTGGTTGTTGGCTTGTTATTTACTGTCTTTCTAATAAGCACTTTGGAGGTGTGAGTGTGATCCGTGCAGCAGGTGTAGGGATTTGCAGCCTTCTGTGAACACAGAGCACTGAAACCTTTTGTAAGATGTTTGAAGTCTTTTTGCAACTGCTTGCGCTGAAACTGTAAACAGTAACCTGTTGAACAATTACTTTTCTGTGGTGGCCATTGCCTTATCCCACGATATTTTAAAGGAACCACATGAATAGGCTTAAGACTTTGGATCTTTGTTCTTTGCAAGCCTCCCACTTTTTTTCCTCAGTAGATGTTTCTGCCACCTCACAGTGAGATCGCTTAACTCAAATACCAAAACTGTTGTTTAATTGAGAGAAGGGGAGATAGAGTCGGGATGTTGAAACAGATCGGCTACTGCTGGAAGAAAAGTTCATTCTGCTCCTTTGCCCACCTCCTTTTCCTCTTGCTTCTCTTTCACAGGAGCTATCTGTAGCTCATTTCCAACCAAATGTGAGATCACTGATGGCCATGTGTTGGTCTGGAATTCAGCTGCCATAACAACTAGCTTTTGCTGTAAGGGGGCAGTGCCACCTTCAGTCCCTGTCTTTATACTCCTGCTGCTTCAGATTTATCCTACTTAGCAATTTGATGGCCACAGAGGGAGTTAGTATTTTCTGTTGGATCATCTGGTTTTCAGGGCAGATTTTGTGATAGATCAGCCATCAGAACCATCGATGTGTGGCTACAAAGACCAGTACATAAGGAGGCAGGAACCCACAGCTGGGAGTGGGAGCAGGGAGGAAAGCAGGGTAGGAGACTCCTGGCAGGAAAGCTGGGAATGATTATAAGGTTTGCTGATTGATTGCACAATCTGATGGAGAGTGCGGGGAAGGAGGTGGAGCACACCAAACAAGATTAGCAAGTCCATTCACTTTCAGAGAAGGGAGATAGCAAGGACACAATGTGCCTTGCAACCCAGAAAGCCAAACATTGTCCAGAGAGGTGGTGTAAGCCCATCCCTGGAAATGCTCAAGGTCAGACTAGACAGGGCTCTGAGCAACCTGATGTAGCTGTGATTGTCCCTGTTCATTGCAGAGGAGTTGGACTAGATGACCTTTAAAGATTTTTTTCAACTCAGACAATTCTATGATTATATGACACTGTGAAAAACAAAAGGCGTGACAAAAATATGCATTAGAATAATGAACCAGACCCTTGATCTGGTCAGCTTTGGCACAAGAGGACTGAGTTCATTGTTGTTATTCAGCTGGCTGAGGACCATCAACTTTGATTTCTGTAATAATGTGAAGGATAAAGCTGAGAGGAGAGAGGCTCATACCTCAGCCTGCGGGGTGGCAGTTTCTAAAATTTCCACGTTAATCCAGTCCTTTGGTTTTGCCAGGTGTGCTTTCTTCAGAAGAGATCTTGCTTTATCTCACTTCCCATTGTTTTGCAGGAGACCTGTTTCTGTATCCTACCAACTTCCAGGCTCAGGAAAATGTGCCTGGTGCTGAGTTTACGAGCTTGGCTGGTGACAGGGCTGGGGGTACGTTGCAGATCCTGGTCATAGTCCTGGCACACCATTTGTCATCCTGCTGGGATGGCCCTGCTGTTAGCACACAGGAAGGCTCAGCTTGCCTACTTGGTTTGCAGTCACACCTTATGCCCACAGAACCTTTTGTCATCTTACTCAACAGCTGGCTCATGCTTGCTGCAAAGTAATTGCAGCTAGTTCCTGTTGCAACACCTGTAATAAAGGATCAGCTGTTTCTGTTGAGGTGCTTCAGCTAGAATTCTCCTACATTGTAAATCGATCTGAATCAATGCTGCCATAATCTCACCATTTCCCTGCATGCCAGGGGATGTCATTCACATATGTGCATGAGCCTGACTGCTGGGTGAGCTGCTGTAAGGAGCTCAGGTGGGGACATTTTCTTTCTTTGTTTTTCCAGCTTCACTGACAGTTTGGTGCCTTGTGTGTCACTGATACTTGGACGGGGGAATCAGGCTAGAACAGGGAGTTCTGGTCAAGTGTTGCTGATAGCATTGTTCAACTGCAGCCGATTGCAAGTTGAAGAATTCTCTGTTCCTGGGCTGAAAACACTGCAGTTGTTTTTGAGCAAATTTCAACCTCATGAATGTTTATATGTTAAAATAGATCTTTCTAAGGTGGCTAATTGCCTATTTGTATTCTTTCTGAGACAAAAGCAGTGGTTTGATGCCAGCAGGCTTTGGATCATGTTTAAAGTGCATCTTTTCCTTCTGCTTCCACTGCTCTATGCTAAGCTGACTTCTCAAAATAGATTGTAAATGATAAAATGTAGGAAAGGTTGCAATTTATATTGGCTTGAAGTTGTCTTTACATTTTTGATGTCTAGAAGGCTAGTTATGGTAATGACTTCTGTCTTGAATAGATCATCACAGCTGAAATATTATGGTTAGAAAATACTAAGTACCTTGGTGAAGATGTTTACTTACCAGATTTTCTTTTTCATAGGTCAGCAATTAACAAAAACAGAGAGAAGCACTTGCCACGTGGTGGCTGAAGGTATAAGACCAAGATCTAAAGGGAAGTCTTCCAAGTTTGCAGCCTACAATTGCATGGCTTATGGAAGATCTTCAATACACATTCTGAACAGCAGCTAAGGTTTTCACAAGCACGTAACTGTCGCCTAAAATTTGATACCAGCTGTAGATGGCTCAGCTGCCTCCCGGGATTCGCTTCATCACTTCATTTTCACGAGATCAGTGGTAAGTCTTGAAGTATGGTGCTGACAATGTGAGTTTGAGTCTGGGATAGATTATTTTGTTCTCTTGCTCTGTTTTTGCTTTTTTATCACTTGGTATGCAAAGCAAAAAATGTTGTAAGTTGTATAACAAATATTGCTCATTTTAAAAGTATTAGTCAAGTATCCTAGAGGATTTTCCTGTGCAAGATATGCACTTGAAAGGATAACTTTCACATTTTTATATTCAAACTCTTGAGCACCCTTCTTGACATAGATTATGTGTTTTAACCAGAAGTGTGTATTCTTCTCCATGAACTGATGTGTGGTACAGACCTTTAGAATTAGGTTTTAATTCTTAGTACTGTAATATTTGAAAAAACAAACAATCCTGATAAGTGGATGGCATTGTTTTGTGTGCTTTCTGAGAAAGAATACTGAATTAATTGTGTGTGAATAACAAAAATAACAAATGGAAGACCAAGCACTTCTGTTGAAACAATTTATCACAGTACAGAAGCAAGGACAGTGTCATTATACTTTCATAACTCATGGCAATGCCTTCAGTAATAAGGGTGAATAACTCACAGTAAAACTCACCCTTTTTTTTTTTTTTTTTTGTTAATGTCTTTGTATGTCAGAACTATAAACAATACCCTTGCTATACAGAAGTTTATAAGATAGGAGTTGATTGAAGATTGATTAAAAATTAGGGACTGTATTAAGCTGTGTGCTATCAGATCTTCTTATGTGCACATGCAGTTTTATTTGCAGATTTTTACATTAAGATCAAGGTTAGAAAAAGCCAGCAGGTATACTCTGATCTCTCTGTGCTGTTAAAAGTAGAAATCCACAGAACACTCAGCTTCTTAAGCAGCTGAAACATACGTTCTGTAGGTAGGGAATAGAATAGATTGGATTGCTGCATTTGTTTTATGCTTGCAGTGGTGGAGTGACCTTATAGTTCATAGGAACTACAGAGAAAGACCCCAGGATGCCCAGTAAAGTATGAGGGAAAAGCCTATCCAAACCCAAAGCTGGAGAATTATGTTCATACGCTCTAACTGACAGCACATGCAAGCAGTGTCCGTGCTGCAGTCCCTAGAAATGCCCAATTGCTGTTGTTGCAGTGGAAGGCAAAAATAAAGCAAAAATCCTAAAAGCAGTATGAGGAAAGAAAAAGGTAATAATTCACAGTAGTTAAAATGACAGCTCAGCCATCTTTTACATCTTAATTGTAACAGAAAGCTGGCTGAAACCATAAAGCGTGAGATATGACTATCTGTGTGTTTAATGTTTAACTGTCTTTTAATAGCCCCTGAAGGAAGGTTGTGAACATGCAAATCAGCTCTGCAGACTCACGTGTGTCCTGCATATCACCTGTGTATCACTATGCTCCCTTCCAAAGCTAGATGACAGCGGGTACTACTGCTAGGGCGATTCTTCTGGCTGTTAGAGAATGTGAAAAAAAAAGTTGTCTTCATCTATTCCCAGATTATCATTGTGTAATGTTTTCTGTAAAAGCACTAAAAGTAAGTTACATCCATGTTTTTTTTTGTATTACAGGTATAGAGCCTTCATTTTTACTCTCACTTTCTTCTTATATGCCAGCTTCCATTTATCAAGGAAACCTATCAGTATAGTTAAGGTAAGCAAGGTTGTGTTGTTATTTAAACATCCTTCTATTGTTAAAAAACAAGGAAGTAGTCATCTTTTTCAGTGTTTTCTTTTGTAAAGGCCATGTTTAACTTGGAATGGTTTTAAAGATGGAAACCTGATGACACTGGCACACAGGGATATTTACGTAATAAGTTTGATTGAGACCATTCCTAGAATGTTGTGTATACTTCTATTCTTTGGGCTTAAGACTCAGAACAGTAGTGCCTGCACTTGAGGCAGTTCATGTGAATTAATCCAATATGTAGATATGTAACAGAGAACACGTCTGCATTCTTATATTTGAGAAAATCTTCTTGCAACTGATGACTCAAATGTGCTGAAATTCGATTGACATTTACATGACTGTTCCAAGTGCTGCTGAACATCATAGTTGTCTGTATGCTTGGGACTCCGTGCTTTCACTTCTGTTCCCAGTGAAGCCAGTGACAAGATATTCTCTATTCCTATGTTTTTCTCATTCTAATGTCATGTACCTGTAACTTGCCAAGCACAAATCAAATCTGCCAGGGTTCTTGTATATAACTGGTGAGTAACAGTGGATATGGTAGTTCAGGATTAGTGAAGAATTTTGAAATTCTGCACTTACAAACACCACTTCTCTATAGCACATCGTTACTGGCCACATGGTTACTCTTTGGTGTAAAGGTGGCTTCACTGAACAACAGCAGTTAATAATGGCTTAAAATTTTACTGATTTCATTGTGTTTGACACAGGTTCACACAGAATTAAGTTTCTTGCTGTATGAAGCTTAACAAGGGCTCTGTTGGAAGTGAATTTTCCATTTTCAAATTTTCTTTCTGTATCAGGGAGAACTACATAAGCATTGTGCTGCTTCACACGAAGTTGAACTCAGCTCCTACAGAGAATATGCTGCCCAGATTCAGTCTGTCAAAAAGCTGTCTAATGCATCTCAGTGTGGATGGGAGCCGTTTGGTAAGGCATATTTTTCTCCCTTTTTTTTTCCCCCCATAATAAAGTGCTTATATTAGTAGTTAGTTTTTCTGCCTCTTGCTATTCTTCATACATGGGGAGATTCAGGGGTTTTATATGGGAGGGATGTTTTTTTCAAAGGAAGTAAAGACTTAGCTTGCAATGTCTTGCCTCCTTAAAATCACTTAAACAACTGATGTTATTTTACCTGTTAGAGCTATAAGGTGGTTTCAGTAGAACTATTTGCAGTCAGAAAATGGGCCTGAAATTTAGATACGTCTTTAAAATGTTTAAGGGACAGGATAGAATAAATGGTTATGATTTTCTGCTACTCAAGTTCAAGGCCTAACAGACACTGAAATTAAATTACTTGGTGTTTATCCAAACTGGAACTTTTCAGAGTCTTTATTGGGAGAAAGTATTTTTCATCATTCTGTTGGAGATCAAAATCTTGGGACTTAATTGAAGAATGGAGTTGACAACGTACTGGCTAGCTTATCAACCTGTCTTTTTACTCAAAAAGAAAGAATATTTGCCTACTTAGAAAGACACTTCAAATGTAATTGTACTGGAATTTAATGGAGATTTTAAATCATTCCCTGTCACTTTAATCATTGCCAAGAAAATCAGTTGAATAGAATAGTCAACTCCAGTCTCTCTAGCCATCAGTAAGCTATTCTAGTCACTCTTTGATTAGCAATTTTTAAAAAATCCACTCATCAAAGAGAATAAGAGAGAATAAGAGCAGAGAGCTCTAGGCTTTCTGACAGAATTCTGTGTACTAACTGCCTGCTGCAAGGTAGTCAGTCAACTGAAATAATGTAGTCTCATGTTTTCAAATGTTGTCGTGTGCAGTAAAATTGATTGATTGTGGGTTTTTTTTGTCCCTTGACCAAGGGGAGACTGAGCTTACTTGTCTGATACTAGTTGGATTTATTAATACTGAAAACTTCTGAGCTCTAGTGTCCTACTTCTTTCCATGAACACACATGCTGTTGCAAAGCTGTCTCTTTGAGATGGCTTTTTAAAGATGCTCTTTCAGCTCTGTTTTTGAGATGTCAGAGCCAGCAAGCTGGAATGTCACTGGAAAAAAAAGGGCGTTTTAATAACAGCAACTTTATTCTCAGAGTCAGTGGGAGGACATGGACCTGCTGGAGTATGTCTGGAGGTGGGCCTCAAAAATGAACCAAGGGATGGAACACCTTCCCTACCAGGTCAGGCTGAGAAAGCTGGGGCTTTTCAGCCTGGAGAAGAGGTGGCTCCAGGTGGCCTGTCAGTATCTAAAGCAGGGCTGTGAGAAGGAAGGGGACAGACGTCTTTTTTAATGGGATCTGTTGTGATAGGACAAGGGGAAATGGTATCAAGCTGAAAGAGAGATCTAGGCTGTTATGTTACAAGGAAAAAGTTTTTATGCTAAGGGTAGTGAAGCATTGGAACAGGTTGCCCAGAGAGTTGCTGGATGCCTCATCCCTGAAGACATGCAAGGTCAGGCTGAACAGGGCTCTGAACAATGTGATCTAGCTGTAGATGTCCCTGTTCACTGCAGGGGAGTTGGACTAGATGAGTGTTAAAGGTTCATTCCAACTCAAGTGATTTTATGATTCTTTGAATTGTGGCTCCGTGCAAACATAGTTGTCATTCTTGGTATGAGTTCAGGTCTCTTGAGGCTAGACATCTTTTTTCCATCTGGATGGAGTTCCTCCTGCTGCACTCTTCCATCCTGCAAGTTCCATTTTGTTGTGATTATGGTCATTTCTTGTAGAGAGCTGAACCTTATTTTTCTTTTTTTAAACTAGACTTCTGTCACTGTGGCTTATGAGAAGTTAGAGAATGAAGTGCAGAAGAATTTAACCATTCAAAAAGCTGTATTAAGATGATTCCTTAAAAAATACAATTCCTTAAAAAGCCTGTACAATGATGGATTTTTTTAAATCTATTTTTAAAAAATCTTTTAAATCTATTTTTTAAAAGGTATTTTTGCTTTTAGCACCACATATATAGGAAACTCATCCTTCCACTGCGCTTTTGAGAATAGCCTTTATGGTTTAGTTGTTTGGTGGCTTTTTTTTCCTTGGTTGGGCTCTATTTTTTGTTTGTTTGTTTAAGTAGCTATAGGAAGTGGTACCTTGTGAATAACTTCCTAAGTGATGTTTTGAGTAAAGCAGAATTAAAAGTGGGCCTAGAAATATTTTCCTAATGCGCTACAAGAGAAAGCATAAATTGTAGCCGTTTTTTTTGTTGCTGTTACCAAATGTGTTTTACATAATATGTGCTTAAGTCCAAATAAATATCCAATGTACATCCCCTGTGTCCTATGCATGTCATTTTTCTCATCATATATAAAAATTATTGGCACGTATAAACTGGTGATTTATTTTGAAAATACGTTCTTAGATAAGAATAACTACAAGCAGTTACTGGGAGCACTGGATTACTCATTTCTGTGCGCATACGCAATTGGAATGTATTTAAGGTAAATCTGATTCTCTTGGAAACCTTCATCACTTACTATAGGAGACCATACTATTCCCAATATATTGTCCTATCCTACTGTAAAGTTTCTCTTGAAGAGAATGAGAACTCAAATGTTGATGCTTTCTCCTATATCTGCACTAATTGCTATAGAAAACGGTGCATCTTCCTTAGTTGCCAGTGGTATTATACCTCTTGGTGTGCAGAAAGATTATTTTAACTCTCCCCACTGCCTTGTGCATGAGTGCTTTTCAACTTGCAGTCTAACCTGTATTTCTTTGGGGGTGCACTGGGGTTGGGATGCACATCCCCACATTTTATCCGTGTCCAATACACTTGTGTAGACTGAGGTGGTGTGTCCTGTAGTGAAAGGGCAGTAGCAGACACTATCAAATTGATCCATGGGTTGTTAACTGCCATTTGGAGTTGCCTCTTTTTCTTTACCAAAATTGGAACCTTCATAACTAGAGTCATTAGTGAGAGAGATAAATCTCATTTTAAATGACTGGAGATGTTCCCAGTGCTGTGGGCTATTTGGAGAATGATTCTGTAAGTCACTTCCAATGGGCTTCAGGTGAGTATGTCCCTGAAAGATTGTTGTGCAGATGTTAGTTCTAGGCACTTATTGATCATGAAACATTTATTGTTTTTTTTCTGTCAAGTACTTTACTAGTAAAGTTTCCCTTCAACAAGAATTAAGCAACACCAAGTATTATTTATTCCTGAAAGCCTTATGGTCCAACTTTTAATTACAGCTTTTCTTTTTCTTTCCTTCCACATTTCAAGTGGAATAATAGGAGAACGGCTGCCCATCCGGTACTATCTGACAGTCGGAATGCTTGCTAGCGGGCTCTTCACTGCAATGTTTGGATTGGGTTATTTCTGTAATATACATAATCTGTGGTTTTACATAATGGCCCAGGTAGGCATGATTTTCTTTAGATAGTCTGAGTTTCCATGGTGCTTTTTAATGTTGTGTTGTTATTGTTTCTTTTGAGTTACTAGCTATGATTAGTGGTTAGATGGGAGGATATGAAGGCTGACATCTGTCATCAACAATAACATACAGAAATGATAGAGTAGGTAGCCCCAGGTTTAAAAAAAAAAAAAAAAGAAAAGAAATATTTGAAAACAAATTAGTGTTTTAGTCTGTGGCAAATTCATCGATGATCAAATCTTTGCAAGCTTAGATGTGGATGAGTTTTAAAACAAATGTATTTACTTTTGTCATTCTGCCAAGACCTGAATGATTCATCTTGGCTTTCTCTTCAGGAAAATTACATTTTATGTGCCTAATGTTGGAGTCTCCCACGTTGGTGTGGCTGAGAAACTGTCAGCCTTTTTAATAAACTTTGTTGTGTGGGATTTTTCAGAGTGCTTGTAGATCTAATCGCACATCACAAGAATATTTACCATTGACCCAAAATGGAATTTTGATCATGACCAGTGTATGATTAGCACTTCTGAGTCATTTTGGACAGGTCTGCATCGTGCGCTGTTGCTTTCTTTGCATTATCTTGGTTGCATTTTCACAGCTGGCATGTTTGCGTGGCATGTGTAACATGACTTGCAGCAATACAGACTTGAGCACTGCAAGCTTTTATTTCACCAAGTCACCTGTAAAATGTGTCAGTGCCCCAGGGCTGTTAGCCTGTGTGGTTCCCAAGACTGGAGCCAGCTGCCTTAGGCATAGGCTGTGTGCTTACCAGTGATGTGGACAGTGAGTCCTGTAACAAGAAGGTGTGAGATTGCTTCACTTCATGTTCAGTTGCTCATATGCTGTGATCTTTGGGTTAATGAACGATTGCCTGACAGGTTTTAGGAATTGAGTTAGGATTCCCTTACATCTGTGCAACTTGCAGGCCAAAATATCTCTTACCTCAGTCTGAATACAGTGTATTACGTTTCTCCTCTAAGCTTATTTGCATATGTCTTTTAATCACTTTAAATCCAGTGTTCAAAATTGTCCAGTCTTCGTGAAAGCTTTTTTATTTTTTCACTTATATCCCAAATATTACTTTGCCATATGTTCAAACTGAGTGAAGTATTGTGTAGCCCTTAGAGTTTGGGGAATTGGTTTGCCTGTTCTGTGTTGTGCATGAAATGAGATTTTTGGTAAGCACGTGATTGAATTTTACTTTTTTGTGGTTTGCATTATTGGAAATGTTTCACAGGGGTTCTTCCCTGTCCATAAATATTTCAGCTTGTTTATTCTTGAAAAATAATGCTTTTGAAACCCTCAGTAAACTTCTGAAATCAAAGCACTTGTTCAATCTTCCTGACACAGCACTCAACAGGGATTATGTAGGAACTTAACTTGTCATAGGCTATGCTTATTTATTATTGTTTCTATATGCTTTCAGATAGCTAATGGGTTGGTGCAGACTACTGGCTGGCCAAGTGTCGTTACATGTATTGGCAACTGGTTTGGAAAAGGAAGGTAAGTAATACATAATGCAAAGTTTTGGAAGTACAAATCAGTGCATTCAGGGCTATAAGATTGTAGTCAGTATCTACCTATCGCTTCAGTGATGCTTTGGGATAAAAGAAAAGGTAGGTGGATCCTTGACAGAAGTTTTCTGGTTAGCTTACATTTCAATCTGAAATGTTCTCTTTCATGTCAAATTAGTGTTATCTGGTAACTCCTTTGTTTGATGTTTAATTTTTCAGATGAGTTGTTTTGAAATTCTTGCAAATATTACCAGTCTAAAACCACTTTTGATAAAGGCTGTTATCATGCCTTTTTAATGTGTTTTCATCTGTGTTTCAAAGCAGTTGTCAGAGTACAGCTCTAAAGATATCTTTTTGTCTGATACATTCCTTCTAACACACTTAGAAAAACTTGAAATTTAATTTAAAAAAGAAGAGAGATATCATAGCTGACTTAACCTTTCTTTTTGTCACTTTCTTTAAATAATCCTTTTTCTTCCTTTATTTTTTTTAAATCCTGCATAGAGATCACTCTTAATGCTTGTTTTATCGTAGCATGCAGAAATCTTCCATGAATTTTGTGAGAGCTGCATATTAAATTTATTGCCTCTGATGATGGTTGATGGCTGTAGCATATAGTAATGCTATTTAGTGCTGTCCATTGTAGATATCATCAAAGGAACATTACTGTCAATCAGTTCCAGGGGAGTACATATGAAAATTCAGTATAAATTTTCTATGTAAAATTGTGAGACAGTTGAAAAAATACAGTATCAAACTACTGAAAAGAATTAACAGGTCTGTGCATAGCAGATGCATTCATTCAGATTTTCTTTTTTAAGCAAAAGCAACAGTCTTTAGTTTTAGGAGGCTACATAATGGGCTGTTGGATAGAGCTCTGGTCCAATGTCACTGAGTTTCATTTTGCTACAAATTCCTTGAAACGTGAGCAGACTTCTTGGATCTTGTCTTCAGTCAAAGAAAAAGATTTATTTTATTTAAAATTAGGTTGCTCCAGGTAACCTCCTGCTGAAGGCAAGGCAGTTTTCCCAAGACTTAAAAGGAAAAAAGCCTGCTAACTGCCAACACTTCAGCAGAATTGTTGTGATTTACAGTGGTTCTGCTGGAGCTATTCTATAGCAGCTCTAATGTAGGATTTCCAGGCTGACAAGTTCAGTGCATCTGTGAGTCATGTCTGTGCAGTGTATTTGCAGGACTTCCACTCACAGAAGCATTGGACTTAGCATGTATGTATGCATATGCTATGCAACATCTATATACATGTTTCTACCAAAGAAACTCTTATCTGGATGTATGCAACCCCCCATGGTGCTGTTACATGCAGGATGAGTTCTGTCATGCACAGAGAAGTTCTTGGAACACTTCTCTAAGTATTTAGATGCTTTGAAACTGACAGTTGAAAGGCTAGCATAAAGAAGTGGTCAGTTACAGAGCAATGAGTTTTCAGATATTTCACTGTCACCACAGGCAAGCAGTCTTTTTTTATATGCTTTTTTCAAGATTGCTTATTGTTGGAATAATAAGAAATGTCTGTGGGACTTGTTTGTTTCTTTTTAATGCAGGCGAGGTTTGATCATGGGAATCTGGAATTCACACACATCAGTGGGAAACATCTTGGGATCCTTAATTGCTGCTTATTGGGTATCTACGTGCTGGGGTCTCTCCTTTGTGATGCCTGGTGTTATCATTGCTGTGATGGGGATTGTTTGTTTCCTCTTTCTTATTGAACGTAAGTGCTTTAGTGTGATAGAACCATGAAAGGGCTCATTACTGGCAAATCGTTGTTGTTTAAGCTAAATGACCTGGGGCATAGTAATAACTAGCAATTATTCTTCAAGATACACTTAATACTGCAACAACTTTGTCCTAGAACTAGATTAAGAAAAATCTGTGTGTGTCTGATAAGTTCATACACCCAGATTATCATATCTGAGAGTAACACTTCAGAATTCAGTGCACTGTCCTATCTTTAATCCCCTGTCTTTAAAAAAAAAAACTGTTCAGGTGTCAGACACATCTAAATATTAGAATATCCCACCTGGCTGTAATGTGTATTCTGTGCTACCATTCAATGTATGACATCCGTATTCTGTTCTACAAAATAAAGAGATTGCCTGATAAGAGCAAGTTCTGTGACCTTAAATTAGAAATGAGAAAGAAGTCCTTTCATTTGTGTCTTTGTAGACTTAAAGATAGCAATATGAATGCTTATTTTTCTGCATCTGTCCTGTCTGAGGACGTAAAAAGCTTTGTTGACACAACTAGAATGATGCAATGAACTGGGCTGCCAGATAGAACTGTTGTCTTAGAATGCAAAGGGTACCGTGAAGCATCCTTTTCTGTTTCTCTAAATGTATAACCAGATGTTCATATGAGAACTACTTTTGTGTCCTCTGTACTGTTGGCTTATTGGTAGTAAATTATACTACTGATAAGTGTTTTAAGAGAGATTATTTATGCTTTCTTTCATTATTAACTACGTGCGTTATTGTATTTCAGATCCTAAAGATATAAGTTGCTCCTGCACTCCATCCAGTGTAAGTGAATGTTTTTTCTGCTGTGATTTTTTTTCCTTTTAATATAATATACATGTTTATGGTAGCTCTAGTATTCAAATCATCTTCATGGTCCTTTTGTGCCATGTTGTTATAACTTACCTAGATTTGAAAGAATGATTGGTCCTCTGTGCTTCAGTGGTAAAGCAGAAGCTTACTGTCTACCAAAGCAGTACAAATGAGGAGGTGAATGACTTGGTTTGAGCTAAGGTTTTGCAGCGGATGAACTTAGCACAGCAAACTCAGTAAAAGCTCTTTGTTTTTCTTCATGTTATTTTCCTCCAATCTTCCTGAGTGTATTCAGAGTGTTTTGACCGGTGTCCTTCAGTTTCCCTACTTGCTTGGATATGAGATAGCTGTCAACCATGGCCTATCAAGGATCTCACTGTTAAGAACCCTGTACTGGGTGCTGCAGAAAGTAAAATGCAAGCAGCCCTTTACCTATTATGTGGTCTATGAACCTTGTATCTCTGAGCTTGAACGAAAGGTGGGATATCCCTTGGATAGAGGGAAGGGCAGCAGGAACACATGACTGGGGCAAAGAGGAGCAAAAAATGTATGTAAAGCTGCAGTTCATAGAATCATTAAGGTTAGAAAAAGCCACTAAGATCATCTAATCCAACTGTTAGACATCACCACTGTGCTCATTAAGCTGTATGTGCCATGCCTACAGTGTTCTTGAACACCTGCAGGGATGGTGACTCTCACCTCTTAACTAAAAGATTAAGAGACTAGGGCAAGCAGTCAGTCTGTGGCAGAGAATTTTGTTGTGATACAGTACAGCCTTTATTTAAACCAAGCTAATCGGAATTACTACGGACTGTATTGATATTAATGAAGAACTGTGAAGTGGAGAGAAAAATAACTTGTACTTAGTGATATTGGTCACTTGACAGTGCTATGTTGTGTTTGTGTTGTGTTTTTTTTTTTTTTTTTGTGGAGTCATAGAATGATTTAATTTGGAAAGGACCTCAGTAGGTCATCTGATCCTACCCTCTGCTTGTATTAGGACTGACTTTTACATTGGATTAGACTGATTAAGGACTCTCTAGTTAAATTTTGAAATCTCCGAGAACAGAGATATGTTATTTCTCTTTAAATATTAGGTGAGTTTTAAAATGTGTCAGTTATGCAGTTTACTGCTGTCAAAACAGTCTACATGTGAATACATAAGCTTTCTTTGTCTTGCTGAAGATTACATGCGTTCTTCCTTGTGCCGTTGTGGCAGCAAAACTCTAGCTTTCAGTTGCTTCTAAAAGAAAATCCTTTTGTTCAAATATTTAGTACAGGGTTGTTCAAACACTGTTTAAAGTAAGTTGGTTAGTAGGTGAGCTCTGGTACTGAGATGTTTGCCCAGTACCCTTAACACAGAAGTTCAATTTTTGTGCGCTCAGAATTAAGTAATGTAGAAATCTATGTCAGTGATAAAGAGATGCGCCTTTGAAAACTTCAGCTGCTATGTGAGAATCGTAGAATGGCTTGGGTTGGAAAGGACCTCAAGAATCATCAAGTTCCAACATCCCTTCCACATGCAGGGTTGCCATTCACTAGATCAAATATACTAAATCAGATTGCCCAGTGCCCCGTCCATCCTGGCTTCCAGGGATGGGGCATCCACAACCTCTTTGGGCAACCTGTGCCAGCACTTCACCACTGTCTCAGTAAAAAAAACTTCTGTACATATAATCTAAATCATCCTTCCTTTAGTTTAAAACCATTCCACTTTATTTTATCACTATCTACCTGTGTAAAAAGTTCATTTCCCTCATTTTTATAAACTCTTTAAATATTGGAAGGCTGCAATAAGGTCTCCCTGCAGCCTTCTCTCAAGGCTTCTCTCAAGCCCAGGTTGTTCCACCTGTCTTCATAGGAGAGCTGCTCCAGCCCTTAGATCATCTTCATGACCCTCCTCTGGATCCTCTCCAAAAGTTCCAAATCTTTCCTGTGTTAGGGGCCCCAGACTTGAATACAGTACTCCAGCTAAGGCCTCATGACAGCAGAGCAGAGGGGGACAATCACCTCTCTCCCCCTGCTGGCCACTCCACTTCTGATGGAACCCAGGATAACATTGGCCTTCCATGCTGCAAGCACACTGCTGGCTCATGTTCACTTTTTCATATCGGGACCCCTAAATCCTTCTCAACAGGGTTACTCTCAAGGAATTTTTCTTCCAGTTTGTATACATATCTGAGATTAGCTCGACCCAAGTGCAAAACCACTCACTTTACTTTGTTGAACATCATTAGGTTCACAAGAGACCACTTTTTGAGTTTAAGGTCCCTTTGCATGGCATCTTTTCCTTCTGCTGTATCAAGCCACTCAGCTTAGTGTCATCAGCAAACTTGCTGAGGATGCACTTAATCCCATCATCAATGTCATTGATGAATATGTTAAAGAGTACCTGTCCCAAGACAGACACCTGTGGGACACTGCCCATTACCAGCCTCCACCTGGACATAGAGCCATTGGCCACAACCTTCTGGCTACAGCCTTCCAACCAATTCCTTATCCAGTGAATAGTCCATCCTTCAAATTCACGTCTCTCCAACTTAGTGATAAGGATGCAGTGGGAGACCATGTAAAAGACTTCGCAGAAGTCCAGGTAGATGACATGAGCTGCCTTCCCTTTGTCCACTGATCCCGTCACTCCATCATAGAAGGTGACCAGATTGGTCAGGCACGACTTTCCCTTTGTTAAGCTATGCTGACTGTCTCAGATCACCTGCTTGTCCCTCATGTGCCTTAACATGTCTTCCAGGAGGACTTGTACAATGATCTTCCCAGGTACAGAAGTGAGGCTCACCATCCTGAAGTTCCCGAGGTCCTCTTTCCTCCCTTTCTTGTAGGTGGAAATGATGTTTCCTTTTTTTCCAGTCCTCAAGGACTTCACGTGACAGCCACAACTTTTCAAATATGGTGGAAAGTGGCTCAGCAGCCACCTTAGCCAACTCCCTTAGGACTCTGAGTCACTGGGGTGCGTGTCATCCTGCCCCATGGACTTGTACACATTCATTCTCATGAGAAGTAGATTCCTTTCTTGATTTGTGTATCTGTAACGCAAGAGGAGGGAGGCAATTCAAGCAGAAAGAAAAATAACAGACAAGGAAAAAAAACAAAAAGGAGAGTACTTGGGAGACCAATTATGTTACAGAATGTCATCACTATCCTCCTGTTGTTCCAGAATATGTTTGTGGGTTCATCTCTGTTTCATGTTCAGTAAGACTTTGGTATGTGTTTGTTTCTACTGTAACTAAAACGCAGAGCAGTATTTTGCTCCAGGCTATTTCTCCTTTGACTCCCAGGGACCCGTGGGCAGTCAAGTCTGCTACATTTTCAACTAGGTCTTCGGAAGAACAAGAGAGCAAATATAGGTCTCAGGGTTTCCTGTGTGTGACAGCAAGTCAAGGCTGCTGAGGAGTGTGTTAGAGGCAGGGTCCGAAGGAATCCCATATGTCTTTTCATAAAGTAGAGAATTACTATATGTGAAAGCTGTCTGCACGTATATGTGAACTGCACCTACTGGTTTCAGGTATCACAGACAGATTGTTCAGGGATGATTTCTGCTTTTTACTGTGTTCACCTTCCCCTCCTCCCCCCCCTTCCCCCCAAAAAAAAATCTTAGATAGATGGCTTTTTATGTTGTAAATTCTCTCTTTTCTTGAATAGTAACTGATGGTGACTCTTCTGCTGTCTGTTATTTTTTTTTCTTTACCAGTTAATGGATTTTTTTCTCATATGGAAGTTTCCTGATAAAGCTTCTGATTGCCTTTAATGGTCTGTGGAACTCCTATTCTTAGTTTGTTGCTGTGAGATAATTTGTACTTACAATGAGCTCTGTATTTTTCATTTATTGCTTTTTCACTTATTAAAGGTAACTTCTGTCAAATATGAGAATCGTTTACATGACTTGTAGAGACTCCTAACAGGAGGCATTTTTTCCTTGGGCTTTATGTCGTTCACAAGTTCTCCTGCAAAAATGTCAGCTGCTTCTATAATACCTTGAGCATAATATTGTCAGTATTGGCTCTTAAGCTTTGTGAAAGTAAATGTTTACTATTTGTCTCTAATGCACTTTTATTGGGAAGCATGACTAAGAAATTGCATGCAATGGCCTGTTCGTATGCCTCAAGGAGCTAGTAATAAAAAAAGGCATTCAATATCTACATCGTACTGATGTTTTTAACTAGAAGCCAGTATTTTTAGGGGTTTATTTTCCCCTATTTTCCCCTTCTGTTCACCACAATTTCCCCTTTCTGGGACTGTCCTTTGACCTAATCTCCAGGGCATCAGTAAGATCTCTGCACCATGCGCAGTCTCATTGTATAGCATTGCATTTGGCATTCTGTTTCCCTGGAAACCTTACTCTGCATAGCAGAAGGCATCACTTCTTCCTTCCCTATTCTGCGTATCCACATCTGAAAATATTCAAGGGTTTTGTGAAGTATTTCCCTGCCTGCCTCTAATGTTTCTCAGATTCTCTCTTGGGAAGCTGTATACCACTTTAATTGCTTATATATCTCACTTCAGACCTGTGTGGTCTATGAATTACCTTGGGTCACAGTTTCTGCTCACTATGGGGAGGGCGGTTTTAAAAGTTAAGGAAATCGACAAGAATAGAAGTCTGAGAAGATCTCCTAAAAATGCAGATGTGGTAGTTATTGTATCTGATTGCTGAATTGAAGGAAAAAAAAGAAAAAGAAAAAGGAAGGAAGATACATGTAATAAGACAGACTGTTATCACTGGGAACAAACTTCCAAACTTGTTAACCAAGGGTTAAAATTTGCTGGCGTACATAAAATGTCACTCTGTGCTCAGTCATCTCAGGTGACAACCAGAACAACTTGTGCTTTTGCAAATAGGTAGAAATTATTATTAAATATTATTTAAGAAATCAAGGAAACATGCCTATTTGTTTTGCTCATAAGGCTGTAGCTTGTCACTTAGGACAAATATTTTGATTGGGTGCAGACAGCTGTGCCAGTTGGTGCCAAAAGCTGAACCTCTAAATGGAAGAATGAGGCTGGTTAAGTTCAAAGACAATTGAAATAAATAGGGAAGAATTTAAGATATGTTCATATTAAGATTTAAAGGTTAGGTTAGTCTCTCTGTGATATCACTATCTTAGATGAATTTGGTCTACTGTTTATTTGCAGCGTGATCATGAGCCCAGTATTTCTACAGAGTTTGTAGTGGTGAGTAATCTGATTTCACTGAGTTGTCCAGAAGAACAGATGGAGAGCCAAGCACAGAGCCTCGGATGTGCAGTTCTCGTTCCTTATTCAGCAGTTCCTTCAGTTGTGCTTTGTTTGCTCATTTGACTCTGATTTATGAATCTGGGATTTGCTTCAAGACATTTGATTATAATAAAGGGCTTTTGAGTACTGCAATTGGAAACTTAATCTGCAGCATTCCAGAAGGATATACCCATGACAAATGCAAGCAAGAAGTCCATGGGCTTTATTATATGTTGATGTACTATTTATCATCAAAATTGAAGGAAAGGTTTAATGGCATTTGTAAAATATGATTATTTAAAACTGTATTTATTGCTTCTAGTCTTTTCTCCCTGTGCTTTCTTTTTATTTTTTTTTTCCTTCTCATAAGTACACATATTCATTGCAGCCTGTTCATACAGACTTGCCTTTATTGTCTAAGAACTTTCTTTAACCTGACTTGCATTTCCAGGAAACCTAGCTCTCTTAAATTCCTTTGGCAACGTGCTTGTGCTTTTAGAAGAAACCTGCAGTTTTTATCTTAATGAAAAGAAGAAAGATGTTCTAAGCATTAAATGTGCAGCCTCTATGTTTAGTCCTTATCCCAAGACATTTCCTTTTTGCCACAGTAAATCTTATTTTTTCAAGTCAAATGAAAGTCTTGTTTTTTTGGTTTGGTTTTTTTTTTTTTGTTTTTGGGTTTTTGGTTTTTCTCTACAGATAATGGATTTTTTTTTTCCCCACAGATTGTTATAAATCACTTTCTGACAAGAGTTTAATTTTCTGTAAGACAAAAACCTGTTCTTCTGCCCATGGGTGTTATTCAATTTTTTTGCAGAATGTATGGCCAAGACTGCTTGTGCCTCAGCTCTGCATTGTGCAGCACAAATTTTGGTATTCATCCTCACCTCTCAGAAGTTTTTTGCCCTCTTAGGAGGATTTGATTGATGAAAGGCGGTTTGTGTAAAGAAAACTGCATTATATGTCCTTGTATTTTTGTTGGGCAGGAGTTACCACGTGATTCATCTTGAATTAAAATGTTCAGTGAGGACAGGCATTCTTTTTTTGGTTTGTGGTGGTTTCTCATTCATTTGTTTTGATGTGGCATTCAGAATGTGATTTGGCACTTGGGAAGCAGATATCTCACCCCTGAGGAATGCGCAGTGCCTCTTACGGTGTTAGCAATAGGTTCTCCTTCCCTGACCACAAGCCTGCATTGAGGCTGTATATTTATTTCACTAGGCACATCATAGTCTCCTTGGCATGTCATTTTAGGCTGAGGATCTCACGATGGAGTTTTATAAGGAATGTAATTTTGGTGTGAACTGATGCAGTAATGCACAGGGTAATAAATAGATGTAAAAAGCAGTGCATTAGTTCAGGTCCATCTAGGGCCTAAAACACAACTCGTTGCCTTGATTTCTGTGTACCCCAGAGGCTCTCTGACTTTTTAGTAATCCTCCGGAAGCCCCAGGCGCATGGTCTCTGGTTCACTTCTGAGTTGGAATGGAGTGAACTTAAACAAGTGGAAGACACTTTTAGCTTAAATGGGTGGAGAAATAAAGAAACAAAGTTTTTCTGGGAAAATAGAATTAAATAAAAATCTGTAGTTGTCACTGAGATAATTTCCATAGGAGAAAAAAATGTCAGCAATGCCAAAGGAAGCTCAGTAGAGAAAAAAGCTGGTAAGATGGTGGAAAAATGGTGGCTGTGCTCTAAATTCAGTATAAGGCTGCTTTGTAAAAAACAGTATGACTTAAGCCTCCAAAGACATTTTTAATTGCATTTTACATATATTGCCATAGGTCTCTGTAAGAGCTTAAACACAAAACACACACAAATGCATTTAATTAAGGATTCTTCATTTGGGATTATGCTATATGTTGATGCTATGATATGCATAGGCTTCATTTGTGAAGAAATTGTTAGCACTATGTAATCCTTTACAAATCAGGTAACAGAAGTATGAGGGGTTGTTATTTTTCTTTCAGAGTTCTAAAGCATTCCTGAATGGTGCATCTCGGTTCAGAGTCCAGATGACAACCTTAAATGCCAAGGAAACTAGCAAGTCTCAGGTAAAATGTGATGTGTTATTGTAAAGCAGTATAGTAGACTTTCTAAACATCACGCAGGAAATTTACAGTAGATATACTGTTGGCAAAGGTTGGTCTTTCTTTGTAATGCTGAAATCTGGTTTCCTTTCCATACACAAATGTGACATCAGATAAGGGATCTAATCATTATCTTGCATAGGTACTGCAGGAGAGATTAATAAGATAGCATGGTAACTTATTTGGTCTTAATTTGTGATCTTTGTACAGTTCAGCAGATGTAATGCAGTGCCAGATATTTTCAAGACAACCCATTTGAAATCCTTTAAATATTTCAGTGGATATATCTGTCCCTTCCCTGCAGTCTCACTTGTCTCCTTATGTAAAGTAATAAATGTGCGTACTTACAGGTGCGTGCATGGATACAAAGTTCTAAATATGAGCAGTTACTCACAGGAATAATGGTTAAAGCATGCAACTGTAATTGCTGGTAATTATCACTGGAAACTGAACTCTGGATGTGCCAATTTATAGGCAAAAAGGAATTTTATCTTGTGATGAAAATTAACTGAAGAAATTCCATTTGAAATACTGTATTTGTATTCAGTACACTTCACACATGATATCCTGAGAGGATAGCCTTTTGTTTATTTTTTGTTAACACTTCCTTAGGACTTTTACAGGAAAACAGAAACTTCCTGGTCTCTTCAACAGTAATTGGCATTGATGGAAAGGTTTTGTACTCTTTAAGAACAAGCTCCACCAGTATTTTGGTTGACTCTCTGTAGCTCCTGCAATCAGTGCAGTGTAATCTTTGTTCAGTGGTTTGGAATAAATGTCAGTAAACTCAGTTCAGAGTACCACTGAGCTTACTTAGTGTACCAAGTTTACTCATGTTCATTTTGAGTCACCTAAGAGCAGTCTCCAGCCCAGAAACCATTTGGCAGTATAACTTGACAACCATCTGGAAGATAAAGGGAGAAGATTTAAGAATCTAAGTAGGTGTCTGTAGACAAGTCATGAAGACAGAGCTAAAATATAGTCAGCAAATTAGTACACATGGATTTCTTCTCTAACTATGCAGAGAGTCTGCATAGCAAGTAGGCAGAGAAGAGACACTCTTGCACGACAAACCAGGAAGGCACTTAATGGCAATCCTTTCAATATTCCCTTTTTTTTTTTTTTTTTTTTTCCCTACTAGCTGAGTTATATCTGTATTATAGAGTACTGGCAGGGCAACTGTTTTTGTTGTTGTTGTTTATCTGGCTTTGGGTTTTTGTTTGTTTTTTAGAAGAAGAAAAAACGAGGGTTGGGGGGAATCCCCTTTTTATCACTGCTAATTCCAAAAGGTAGTCTTGTCTGAATGAACACCTCTGCTTTTTAAAACAGTTGTGTTATGGTGATACTGAGATGAGGATCACTGTCAGCTTTTCTGCCTGTGCAGGCAGCAGTTGTTCTGCTCCTATGAGCCAATCCTCCTCCGAGCACACTGGAGTGGCAACCTTGACTGATTATTTTTTTTTTAAATAACTTGTCAACTACTGTAAAAAGGAGACACTTAGTAAATGCAACAATCATGGTATTGGCCATGTGACCTGGATATCTGCATGTTTTTGTTACTGCTGATGACAGATTGGTCTCTTAAAAATAGTACAAAACGAAGGGATAATGAATCTTTCTCCAGAGATGAAGAGTGTATAATCACACTCCGTTACAAACTGACAAGGCTGAACCATAGTATCTCTGCTAAGCACAAATAGATGTTTTTATTAATTATTCAGCTATGTGCAATGCAGACATTCCATTTTGTTGGTAAAAGTTTCAAGTCTGAGTTACTAAATAAGTTATTTGGATTTCAGTCACTCTCACTGCCACATTTAACCCTCTGTATTTGTGTAAGTTTCCTAGAATAATAGGATTGTTTGACATGGAAGGAGCCTTTAAAGGTCAAAAGTACTGCATATGTAATGACATCTCATTTTCTTTACTAAAATACAGCCAAATTCAAATGAGGCTTAATTCTTCAGTAAGGCTTTATTCAAAAGCACAAGAATGGAAAGGAGGAAGACAGTACGTAGAATACGTTTATAACTTGTAGATGCATAGAGCTGGGTAAGCTTCTCCAAGAGCAGTAAAAGTGAGGGTAGCTAAAACCTGTTCTTTTTCTTACTTGGCAAAGAAGTACTATTAATAACTGCATTTCTTTTTTTTCAGCTGTAAGATGTAAATTTCCAATTCTATTGTGAGTTCACTGTGGTTGATGGATAAAAATAAGCTGCGCTCATGGCTAGACTGGGGCAGCTTATTCGTGTCGAGTGATAATTCACTCACTAGTATTTTTAGCAGCCAGTGGAACTATTATTAGAATAAAATACTTCCTAGTGGTAAAAAAGAACTCAGAATTTAGTTCCTAGGCAATACTGGTTAACGTCAGGCTTTTCAAAACTTGTGGATTGCAGTTCTCAAATGGGACAGAGGTGAAAAATCAGTGCTTAACATGAAGAACTCACTGTCCGTACCTCACTTGGAAAAATGGGCTGGTCTATAATTTAAACAGTGAACAAGATGTTACAGAATCTGGAAAACAAGCTTGATATTAATACATAGAAAAGATAATGATTGGTTTTGTACAGAAATGTAGATTTTCAGTTGTAATTAGACCACATTTAAGTAGCGAAATTGGAAATTATTTTTTTCCTTTAGGCCATATTATGATATGTAAGTTTTTTGCAGCTTGAAATAAGCCACTACAGAGTGAAAACTTGATTCCATAAGTAAACAAGCCAGCATAAACAATCAGACTTATTTCACTCTGTTTTTCATATACACTGTTTGGTTTCTCTATATCCTCTATATCCAAATCAAGATATTTAAAAAGTTGTAACTATCTGTAATAAAATAGATACGTTTGTTTAAGAAATTATTTTGGAATGATTTGCTGATTTGATATGTGTTTTGATACATTGTTCTCTTCTCTTGTGTATGGTGCCACTGGGGGGAATTGCAGGATTCAGAAATGCAGCATTTGCTTATTGACAGCGAAAATTCCGTGACATCACAGAACTCCAGTTCTATGGGCACTGGGGAAGGCAGACATGGGACATCAGCTATCAGCTTCCTTGGGGCTTTGCGAATACCTGTGAGTATGTGTGCTGTTGTTGCCTGTTCCTGTAGGAATCAGGTTTTGCCTCCGTGTTTCCATGAAGTTCTAGATGAAGTGATAGACATCACTAACTTTGCATCACGAGCTTTGATTGGTGACTCTGGTGTACATAGGCTGAAGCAGATTTTGATGCACGAGACAAACATTTAGGCTCCAGTGTTGTTCTTTTTCAGCCTGTAACACGGAAGTTCACTGGTGTCAATTAGAGATACGTGTATTAGGAATGGAATAGCTTAAGCATTTTTCAGAGTCAGATCTTTCTTCCGTGGATTATGTTTTACACTTCTCAACATTGTTTTTTAAGGTTTTCATTTTAAAATCTCTTATATAGTTTGTATTGACAAGTTTGAGATAGTCAAAGCATCCAGACAGCTGGTAGAAGAAAGGAAAAGAAATTTCTTGTACTTCAGGAACAGTAGGTCTTGATTGTACTGTCAGCTTGAAGTCTATCAGCATCAATGCAATGCAGAAGTAATAAGAATTATACCTGCACTGATTTAGATCAGGTGTAAAGGTAGAGGGGGAAGTCCCAGGACCCAACCACTGTATTCCTGCATCCTCTCACTCTATCAATCTGATTCTCTGTCTCAATTGTTTTTCCTGTGGCAAAGTGGAAAAAATATGTAGAAAAATTGCTTCTAAAGTTCTCTGCACCTCCTCAGTATTTTTCCTGCCATACAACTGTTGGTGAAGTAGAGCCAGCCGTATGTGGTCCTTGCAGTATACCATGCTAGGAATTTAAAAATGTCTGTCTTTAGCAAGAAAATATCAGTTTAAGGGGAATGAAGGTAAGTCACTGTGGCACTTTAGTTACAGGTCTGTGCAGAATCACCAAGATCGGAAAAGACTTAAAGATCACCCAGTCCAACCATCCACCCATCACCAATAGTTCTCACTAAACCATGTCTCTCAACATAAAATCCAAACGTTCCTTGAACACCCCCAGGGTCGGTGACTCCACCACCCCCCTGGGCAGCCCATCCCAGTGCCTGACCACCCTTTTTGAAAAGTAATACTTCCTAATGTCCAGCCTGAATCTCCCCTGGGGCAGCTTGAAGCCATTCCCTCTAGTCCTATCACCAGTTACACTGGTGATAAGGAGAGAAGAGGCTGACCCCTCACTACAGCTCACAACCTCCCTTCAGGTAGTTATAGAGAGCAAGTAACTATACCTTCCATATATCCATCAAGAGAGGAGATTGAATAAATTAGTACTTGAAATAGGCATCTGCCACATCTATGATTTGTTCTTGCTGCTTAGTAATTTGAGCTGTGTCATACCGGTTAACTGGCTGTTTTTTAAAGAGTGTGACAATAAGGGAGAGGTCTTAGAGCCATCAGAAAGATAAATGTAAATAACATAAAAGTATATTCATTTCTCTGCAATATGATTGCACCTTGCATAGAAAGTCTCTAAATTAGGAAAATAAGTCATGCAGCTGTCCGAATAATATCCGATCCTTTCTGTTTATTTTAGTGTTCTCTATTCAGTTCAGTGTAATTAAGGGAATGTATATAAGCAGAATACTGTAGTCTGCTCTGATTGTGAGCTTTCTTTTGTCAAGGGAAAAATGTCTTTTGGGAATTCTTGAGAGAAAATGTGTAAAATGCTTCTTAGAAATATTTCTATAATGGTCTTTGAAAGTAGATAATAACCATTATCAAGATACTGACTTCCTATTTCCTTTGTTTTCTTAGGGAGTCATAGAGTTTTCCCTATGTCTTTTGTTTGCAAAGCTTGTGAGCTATACTTTTCTCTTCTGGCTTCCCCTCTATATCACAAATGTAGGTAAGTATCACAGTAAGGGGAAACAGAATTATGACTATGAAGTGTCTAGAAATATGGGCTTAATAAATAAGAGAGTAAACGTTACTGCTTCTGAAATAGGCTGTCTTTGCTAGAGTAGCAGGAGGGCTGTAAGGCACCAACTGAGATGTTTCTCATTAAATTCAGTATGATGAGAAGACATTAAAAAAAAATTAAATTTAAAAAAAAAAAAAAAAAAAAAAAAAAGAAAGAAAGAAAGTGGATCGTCTTCAACAATTCCAACCTGTAATGCTGTGGCTCTTGCAAACCCATTCTTTAAAGGTGCTTTGAATTACCAAAGTGCAAAACTACTAAAATGCAGACAAACTTCTTTATCTGTTCACTAGTGCTGTTTTTCACTGAAGAGTGCAGAGGAAGGAGTTCTCCCTATACAGAGAGTTCTTGTGAGTGATGATGTGACCTTTAAATCCCCAGCTAACAAAAATGCATTGTTGGCTGAGTCTAGCAGTAGCAGACAGTGGAGCGAGACAAGTTTAACAACCCATGAAAACACACTCGGCTGGAAATACTATAGCTAACGGCTGTTGTGTGGACTCCCAAGTAACCAGTGCTACCTTGAAAGCAGCTGCCTGGTAATAGAAGATATTTATCAACAGTCCTCCAATCTGTGCTGTAGCAGATTTATTGTTGGTGAGGTTATGGTAGCACCATTGACACCTCTGCTGCTCTTTCAAGTGTATTGCAGAAGCTTTTAAACAATACATACCAAAGGAGTTTAGAAATTTAGCTGCTTTTGAAATGCCATATTTAACACAATGGAACTTAAGTTGCCAGGCTTCCTGAGAAGCTTCTGGAAATCTGACTTGGTAGTACTTGAGTGACTACATTAGTCTAAATGTAAATATATGCCAACACTGGTCCTTGCTGTCAATAACAGAGAGTGGACTTGAGGAAATCATTTGTCTCTTCATAGTCTACAGAAACTGCACTGCAAGTGCTGTGCTGAGCACGTGTCCAGCCATCTAATGATGAATATTACTTGACATGTGATGGAAGCCCCCAGGATGAGGCTCTGTAAGTGATCCAAGTGTATGCTAATCATTATTTTAGAGCCAAGAGCCTCACTTAGGAGCACTCATTAGATCATAAGACTGTGGCTGTTCACAAATTGGAATATTGTTAAGCCAAATTTTAACAATCAACAGCTCTACTCAGTAGACTTTATAACTGAAGCATTAAAATGTCCTCCCTTGGGTGTAATTGTATTCAAAGGACTGTATTGCTGAGTGACTGATTATGATACCCATCACATGACTGTACTGAGATCTGCTTTTCGTAGTCCGGAAATGAAGAAAATGGTTTTGATTATTTTTGTTTTTGTTTTGTAATTGTCACCAGAGCACCTTGATGCCAAAAGAGCTGGGGATCTTTCTACACTGTTTGATGTGGGTGGAATCTTTGGTGAGTTTAAACATCAGTATTACATCTTCAATCAGACCAGTTTAGCAGAAGCAGTAGTGTACACAGCTAATGTATATTAGTAGTCTTCTGCCTTATATTGCCTGAAGTAGAGTTGCAGTAAGGTACTAAATAGAGATAGATCAGACATTGAAATCCTTGTTAAGCATTTTCACTTGGACAACACTACAGTCTCCCTGATTTGTTCATCACAGACTGAGCCAAATACTATGGAATTTTTTAGCTACATTGTGCATAATAGATGTTCTGCTTCTATGGGCTGATCTGCTTCAGACACTGGAGTACTGGCAACCTTGACTGATTCTGTTTTTTTTTTTTTTAATAACCTCTTCAACTACTGTAAAAAGCAGATTCTCAGGATATGCAGCGATTGTGGTGTAGGCCATGTGACCTGGATATCTCCATGTGTTTGTTACTACTTCTGTCAGATTGATTTCTTAAATATAGTACAAAATGAAGGAATGATGCATCAGTCCTTCCCCAAAGATCAAGAGTGTGTAAATCACACTCTGTGACAAACTGACAAGGCTGAACTATGGTATCTCTGCTAAGCACAAATTGATATTTTCATTAATTATTCAGCAATGCAGATATTCCATTTTGTTGATAAAATTCCAAGTCTGAGTGATTATCCTGAGTTGGTATCACTGAGTTACTGCTTTCAGTCACTTTCACTGCCACATTTAACACTCTATTTTAAATAAGCTTCGTAGAATGATAGAATCATTGGATCATTGGAAGGAACCTTTAGAAGTTGTCTGTTTCAACTCTGTGCTACGGGTAGGGACACCGACAGCTACATCAGGTGGCTCAGAGCCCCCTTGAGCATGATCTTGAATGTTCCCAGAGATGAGGCATCCACCACCCACCTGGGCAACCTGTGCCAGTGTTTCATCACTCTTACTTTAAAAAAAAAAGCTCAGAGCAATATGTCAGAAATGAGCAGTGTTTTACCTCAGACAGCCCTGGTCAGGTTTGCTGGGGGATTTGTGCAAGAGACGTCCCGTAAGACACTACTTAAGATACATCTTCCATTAATTTTTAAAAATTATTATTTTTAATATTAATAGCTGGTAGTTTGCATTGCTACTGTTAAAATAGTTCAAGTTCTGAAATTGTTCCAGTAATTCAGAAGATAAATGGTGCTGCTGCTGGAATAACTAATGTGCCATAAGATAATTTTACAGTGCTAAGCTAGATTTCACGTGATATTTTTTCTGTTCTTCTGCTTCATGCAGGAGCAGGGTCTCCCATAAATCCTGCATCCTGTCTACCAACTCAGTTCAAGTGTTTAGAATACTGCATGATAGCTTCTAAGATTTTATGGTTCCTTAGTGTCTTCTACACAGTGCTCCTTGTTGGTGAGATCATAGTAGTGCCACTGACACCACTGTTCTTTCAAATGTATTTCAGAAACTTTAAAAAAAAGAATACCAAATGCTCTTGACTGTGAATCTTTGTCACTTTCCTTGTCAAAATCTATTTGTTTTAATGTAGCTGAACTATCCCTGCTGTACACTTGTGTATTTTTTGTGGACGCAACAGTGAATGGCCACATTTTTTTTCATGATGTCTCATATAAAATGAAGTTGGGAAATTATACTGATCATAGGGGTGAGATTATTCCTTTGTCACTTGTGAGGACACCATTGAATGATTAATTATTTACTGCAGTCAGACCGTATAGTTCCCAAATAAATAAGCACTATCTCAATTTCCATCTGTTTTATGTGTACCCTCTTACACACCCTGCAGCGCCCTTATGAAAATTAGCTTTGTATCAGTCTGTTGGAAAACAATACTTGTAGTAGGGGAAGTTTCACTGTGTCAAGAGCTGTGTAGGCCTTGGTAGTTGACTGTAGGAGTATTGAGGTGTGTTGCAGTTACTGTTTCACGCTTGTGCTAAATATTACCTCTGCTTATTACATCCTAGACAGCTGAAGCAAGAGCTAGTGGTACCCTGGGGATACAAACGACTTCTTTCAGCTTTGTCTCATTCCACCGTGAATGCAAGGTTAACAAGGTGCCCTGTGCTATTTCAAACTGGCATTTACATTTAAATTCAAGTATGATGTAGATACTTGGAAGATGGGCAGCTGGGAGGGGAGAGGCAGGAATGTGGAGAATCCGAAAAACTTCCTTTCTTTCTCCCTGCACCAAGTTCTCTGTACATCATTTTGACAGCTCTTTCCCTTGGGCCTTCAAACTTGCATCTGCTACATACTCCAATTAGTACTTCTATGTGTGATCATTGGGACATACAAGAAAAAGAGAAAACTAAAGAGCATGGAGTGACTGCATGAAGTGAAAAACAAGTATTTCATTTGTCCCAGGATCTAAACTATCTCATTTCCTCTACAAACATGACATGGACAGGGCACACTACAGCTGAGTACTATTGCATGTGAGGAGTTCAGAGACCAGTAACTAGCTGGGGTGCAAGCAGAGTGAGAGCACGAGACACTGTTGCAAAGGCATTTTCTGTTCAAAAGCAGCAGAACTATAATTTCTAAGTTTTTCTTCAGTCTCTGTTCCACCCTCATTCCTGCCATCTTGAAAATTCAGTTGGAATAACCAATGAATCAGTTACCTTCCGAGTCAAACCTGGCTGAGTTATAGGATATCACCAAGTGCCAGTTATCTCATCAGTTCTATAATCTGTGTTGCTGTGTGTAACTGCATTAAAAGTCATATATTGTTTTAACTTTAGTTGAGTTTCATTAAGTGTAACTGATGCCTTTTGTGTAAAATGTACACAGTGCTACATACCTGTCTCTTCTTTCAGGTGGAATTTTGGCAGGCCTGATTTCAGACAGGCTAGAGAAGAGGGCATCGACCTGTGGAATGATGTTATTGCTTGCAGCACCCACAGTAAGAATTTGCCCTTCTTTTGCAGCTGTGGCTGGGACTTTTACAGCACTCCTTAGGAAGTTGTACAACAGCATCTTCTAAGTTGGACATGGAATTCAGACCAGGCTAAAAGTGAAAGAAGTTGAGCATATGAGGAAGTATAGATTTGGACCACCTTTACTTAAGCAATCATACCAGTGTAATCCACTGCTTGTTATTTCTTGTGCCTTATATCTTGTGAAGAAAAGCAGAAGTAATAAGCAGAGAGCTAAGTTGGACACTGAAAATCTTGCGTAGTTTATCACTCTTTTAAAATTGATGTGCAGTTCTTAGCCAGAATTTTAGTTGCTGGAAGACTGAAATTACTGTGCTCTAACTGAATACTGGCAGCTGGACATGTCAAGAGCACTTTTTTGATGTATGTTTTGATTCTTTTGTGAATTCTTCTGTGCTGCACTGAAGCTGACAATTTGAGAGTTTAAAGTTGAGTGATCTCGTCACATAGCCCTTTCTTCTGACAAGACACATGAGGAAATAGGAGCATAGCCCTTATCATCTCCCTCATCCGTTCCATCAAGCAACCATCCTGCTATGATCTAAAAGGGTTACTTTAAACCTCAGATTCCAGAACTATTTTTCACCTGATGCCTCAGATATTTTTAGTTAGCATGGGGGAAGTGGGCATCACTGCAGATGTTGGTATTACAGCATGTGTGTTTTTTCATTTTTGCAGTTGTACATGTTCAGTACAGTCAGTAAAATGGGCCTTGAGGCTACTGTAGGTGAGTATTTCTAAATTATTGTATGCCTCTCACTTCACATGAACTTTTCATTTACAATCCTTTGCTCTGCTTAGCTCTTTATTTTCCTTTTTATTTTTTTCCTTGAGAGGAGGAAGTATGGGATGAAACTCCTTAGATTATGCCTTGCTTTTTGTGCAATAAGGAGAAGGAATACAAACTAAATAATTGGTGGTATGAGTTATGGGGATTCTGTAAACAAATCGTTAGTTCGTGTCAATTAATTGTAACTAACTGTTGGTTGAGCTAACAGTGACTTAGGTAGCATCATTGGTCTTTGTTATGAGGTTTTATTTCAGCATAGGCATTATTATACAAATAATGCCTGTATATTGTATTATGTGTATATTATATGTATTATGCAAATATCAGAAATGTTTTAAGTCTACTTGTAGTGCTTTTGAAAGCAATTTCACTCATACAGGCTGATTATGTTCATGTCTTTCTATTTGTTGTTACAGTTAAGTCTTTCGGGCAACTCATGTTTTCTGTTTTTTGTCCAACTTGCAACAGTGATGCTGCTTATCAGTGGTGCCCTGGTGAATGGCCCTTATGCACTGATTACCACCGCTGTCTCTGCTGACTTGGTGAGTTTGGCTTCCCCTCTGTTTCCACCTTTGCAGCTTTGACCTCCAGAGAGAGCCATTTGACTTCTGAAGGATTATCAGAAGGGGCTGCACTGTCCTAAAGCAAGGTGATAAGGAGATGCTTAAGCTGTGTTGAGCTCAGACACTGAGATTGTTCATACATTAGTAAAGAATAGTCTCCTGCCTGTGAGACACTTCTAAATTATTCTTCCATAGTAACAAGATTAACCAAGTCTTGTAGGTGACAGTCCAAAGTGGACGTAAAAGTTACATGCAAGGCCAAGACTCTGTACAGACTTCTCTCTACCCTCCTTTATACTTTGCATCTTTGAATGAAGGAAAGGGCTATATTTGTGTGAGAGAGAAGCTGGAGACTTAATTCTCATCAGTGTAGAAAGCTATGTCTGGTACTTGTCCATGCTGCCATTTGAACTTTCAGTTGGATGAGGCCTGTTGGTCATGAATGCCACCTGAGACCAAAGGTACCCTAATACCTTTCATTGGCTAAGAGTTTGAAGGTTGCTTTCAAAGGCACTGGTTTCTGAAGGTACCAAATGAGAGTCCAGCTTCACAATGTACATCTAACATGGAGAGGTGTAGACTAGATACTACTGTAGAAACTTTTTCTGAGTTCGACTCAGGATTCTAAGCAGTATTTGTCACTTTAGGGTACCCATAAAAGCCTGAAAGGGAATGCAAGAGCCTTGTCCACAGTAACAGCAATCATCGATGGAACAGGATCTGTAGGTAAGCGAGAGCTTGGCTGTGGTAGGTAAAAACAAAAGATTTTTGAGAAACTGCGCTCTGTCCAGGTTTTGTCAAGGCTAGGTACAGTTTTGAAATTGAGAGCAAGAGCAAACTTAGTGTTTAGCAGCACTAGTGTTCCCATGTTTGAGGGAGGGTGAAGTGGAAAAAAAAAAAAAAAAGTAGATGTGGTAGGGCTCTTTCTGAGATCAGTGATTACTTGTGACTTCTGCACTGGTATGTAGAAGGGAGAATTGAGTGGGATTTGTCTTGATGTGGAATAGGCATATTTTTAGCCAAAGAATGACATTTCTCTAACTTCTAGTCTTCCAGCTTCCCCTGTGTTAGGTTCCCTATTGGCTTGTAGGTATATCAGTTACATTTTGAGCTTTCTGGGATGTTTTGGAACATCAGCTCATACTGAGTTAACTAAGTTGAGAAATTGATAATCTGTCTCAGAACAGCTATATTTCAGCATAATAAAACCTGCATTGCATCATTGTGACACTATCAGTACTATATTTTAGGTGCAGCTTTGGGGCCTCTCTTGGCTGGTCTCATTTCACCATCTGGTTGGAACAATGTGTTTTACATGCTCATGGTAGCAGATGGGTGTGCTTTGCTGGTAAGTCTAAAAGTACTTCTTGCCTGCTGTGTATTTTCTTTATGCTAAACTGTTTGTCTTAAAATGCATGTTTTCCTTTTGCAAATGCAGTGCTTTGTTGTCTAAGGAACATCCCATTGTATAGGAGATTTTCAATAAAAGAGCAAAGTAGCTTGTTTTGAAATTTTCATTTAATTGTAATCAGAAGTGCAAATTAGTTTTGATGCACTTCAATTTGTGAACAATTACACATCTGTTAATTGCTGGCTGAGCAGATTACAGCAGGCAAAATTGTAAGTGAACCTTCACATTTAAAGCTAGAAGATGCCCTAGATTCCACTCACAGAAGAATTACTTCTATTTTCCTTAAAACTGGTTTACTGGAGCAGTAACAGCTGTTTGGCTATGTTGCTGTGTCACCAAAATCACCACGATCATGATGTTGAAAGTTAATACGTTACATTCTCCAGGTTGGCCCTAAAATTGCTGTGCTGGGTTAAACAAAAAATGACTTTCTTGGTTTTGACAGTTATCAGGAGTAGATGTTAGGCAAAAGGAGCGTGACATGCATGGTTACTTGAAACAGAGTATATCCTTTTCTATTTTTTATGTTTTTCTCCTCTTCTCTTGTTTGAGATTCTGTGTGCTGGATAGGAAGATCTGATAAGGTGTCTTTTTTCCTTAACTTGCACTACTTTGCTTTAAAGACCAAAGAAGAGAGAAGATGAGGCGAGAAGAGGCTTTGAAGTCAGCCTTGCTGTAGCCACCTATAGGTTAACCTATAGGTTATGTTTCTGTGTTTGCCACAGACTTCCCTAGCAGGCATTTGTACCAATTTGGTCTGTTCTCATAGAATGCTGCCAGTCATGTTCTCATCACTGTGTACTGAGATATCCTGAAGTATCGCTTGCTTTTGCTGTCCTTTTGAAGTCCTGAATGGAAGTGCTCATGAAAGGGTGGAATGACTGTGAAACACTTCAGAACTGCACTTTCCTCTGTACTGGCTGTGCCCAGACAAAACCCCTTGTCTGCCTGGTTATTTCACTGAGCTCTGTACTTCTGCAGAAAGGCCAGTTGAGTGCATCACTCTTTCCTCAGACAAGAAAAGCAGGTAGCACTGTTTGGAGTTGGGATAGAAGCTTTCTTTCTAAACTGAAGTTAAGCCCAAAATGTTGAACTATTTTTTTTCTACATGTAAGATGTCAAATGTCTGGAAATTAATTAAATTAGATATACTAATAGTTTAAGTATGTTCCCTCTGCTCTTGTAATACTTTTTTTGGTAACTCCTGCATCCACTGTTATTTGCTGTACAGCGTATAGATGCCTGCATTCAACTTCTGTTTCTTCAAAGATACCTGGAGAGGGGTTGATCTCATGTATGATATTCAGTTCCATCATGATCGGCCACTCATACCTCTGAAATATTAGATCTAGCATCTTAAAGCACCACTACTTATAGTATTGAAGAAAATTCCTTTTGTAACAGTGAGACTGAAGATAAGGAAATCTGTAAGAGTGAGGAACCCTAGAACTTCTCATCCTATCTTTAATAAATGTGGGAATCCTCAAATTTTGTTTGTAGAATCACTTTCCTGGAGGCTGCCTCAGTTAGTAAGCCTTTTAAAATGCATTTGGAAGGCCTGATGCTATGTATGCAAGTAAATGTGGCTGACGTTGCTCATCACTGTGTGATTAAAGTTTTTCACACAAGCTTGTTTTCAGATTAACAGCTAAAATAATTTTAAGCTCCAACATTGCCATTTGCATTTTCTTTTTGAGTCTTGGGTTCCCTCTGCTGGATTCTTTTATGTCTGCTGGTAAAGTAACTGGAAAGCTGTTCTGTTTTTTACACAGAAATTGATCTCACAACTGTGAAAAAGAAATTATTTTTTGTTTCATGTTCAGTGTGAAAACTCATTTTCCAAACATTGATTAAGCATCTGTATTTTTTTTAATGGTTTCAGCATTTACAGAGTAATGTTTCAAATAGAGAACTCTGAATAACAGCGTGCAGCTTGTTGTGAAACTTTGTTGGCATATCTGTATGGATAGTAACATAGATGTTGTGTCTCTTTTTACAGTTCTTACTCCATCTAATTCAGAAGGAACTAAGGTGTAATGCAGATCATACCCTGTAAGTGTAACATACAGCTGTTGCTCTTAAGTAACAATTTAAAAACAGATTACAAAGATATTGCCCCCTAAGTGTAGACAAAACATATAAAGGTTTTCTGTATGTCCATTTCCATTTGTTGTTTTCAGTTTTGCTTCAAAAGAATAATCTTGTCTTAATGTTTTTAATCATGAACTTTCTTCTTTAGGACATCTTGTTTTGAAAAGTGCCTGAAAACCTGATTTCTTTTTGCAAAGTTTCTTAGTTATGGTTTGTTGTTTTGTTTTTTTTTCCCCAAATATGTAATCTCTCTGCTTTTCATCATGGAGTATGCAGGTGGGGAATGAGCAGTCAGGTAGCTTCTTGGTCTGTGTTGTTGGTAGTTTCAAATGTAGCTTTTTCTAAAAAGTCTCCTTGAAGGAAAAAGTGACTGGAATCAGAGTGTTGTGAATTGGGAAAGAAAATCCAGTGAATTAATGGGGTTACACTTGTCTAAGCAAAATTTTAATTCAGCCATTGGCTGTTTTGCAGCAGTGAAATAAATGAGGAAAAAAAATACATAGCAAGGAATATGGACCCTGCATTTTGGCTGTTTATATCTCACACCTAAACTTTTCCTGCCTGGTTGCTGTTCTTTCCCAGGTTTAAGGAACACTGAGTTGAGAGACCAGATTTGGAACAAGGACTGCGCAAGTGACCAGAGCTCTTCCCTGAAAGAAACCTTAATGGAATGTGCTATACGTATGTGCTATACATAAGAGGTTCTGTTCGGTGAAGAATTTTGCACGTTTACTGGAAGCAATTTGAGAAATGCAACTGATAAATCCCTGAAGCTCTTATTTTTGCACATGAATAAGTACCTCAGGATGGCAACTATTCATCAGATGAAGGGACAGGAACTTTGGGAAGCTTTGAGCAGACCGCCTCAACTGAGCCAAAGAGAAATACCAAGTGCCTTTTTTATTTCTTTTGATAGGATGTTTTTAATGAAAATGCTATACTGTGTATTTTCTAAAAACAAGTCAAAAGTGGAGCAGAAGGAGGTTGAAATCATAACAGACAGCCTAGCAGTGAAATGTCCCCTTGTTGGTGAGCAAAGTATCCTGTACGTCATCTTGTGCATCACTGTGACTGAGGGCATCACTTTGTAGAGAATAATACCATCTGGTTATTAATATGCACTGCTGTTAGTATTTTGAAGCTGCTCAGACAATGATAACCTCATCATATTATTAGTTTTTAACTACAGCACAAATTCTAATCCCAAGGATAACACCCAACCTTGTGGTAAGTGATGAAATAGAATTTATAGTCGCAGTGTATCGTAGTTAGAAGTTTTCACAAACTATTTGGGTGTGTGCTATTCTACAGTTAGGATTGTGTAAAAATTAGTCCTAAGCATCAAAAAGTAGATTATGAGTCAGAATTTCCGGTGCAGGACTCAAATAATTTTCAGGGCATTGTAGTAAAATGATTGTGGAAATGTCACATCATTATTGTGCTGCTCCTCTAGGCTGGGTTGAAATGAGAGATTGTTCCTTTTGAGGTGGCAGAGAACTGTATGCTGCCATACCTTTGAATTACTGGATTGAAAAGATGAGCTGCTGTAGTGCTCAGTGCCACAGTGATCTCTGTTGGGTGCTTGCTTATTTCAGTGGTGTCATTTATATTTGGAAGTCTTTGACAGCTCAAGGCCTTAATAGCCAGAAATCTCTTTCACATGGCTAATTTAAAGTGGCTTTGAATTTCAGATTCAGAGCCAGAATATGTGTCTGTAAGAAAAGGTGGTAGGTTGTAAGAGAACATTTCAGTAACATGTGTTACCCAGCAAACAGACAATTCAATGTCTTCTAAACATATCATTTCTTCATACAGGTATCTCCTTAGCAAAACAGGTGTTTCTGTGATCTTTTTTTTTAGAGATGTACAAAGTATAAAGGAATTTGTTTTTGTATGGGGTGTTTCTACTTAGATTGTGAAGGTTAGGTAATTTAAGCTGTGTATTGTTCATAACTATATTTATTAAATCTGTAGGGATGTGTCTCATTCTGAACTGTGCTCTAAGTTTTGCGAAACAATGCAGTGATCTTTATACTTGATTAACAAAACAGCACTCTAAAATAGCTCTGCAAAGTGTAAAGAAATATCTCATCAGCTGCTGATATGCTGTTCCATGTGTTGGCACAATCCTTGATTTCCAGGGCAGTTTTGTAATTTTTGAGTCTCTGATGAGTTACTTCCCTGGTTTGGTTCAGCATATGTTCTCTGCTTAACTTGAATGTTGTGTTCATTTTAAACTGTTTTGCTGAACAGAGGCACAGAGAAGATTTTGGCCCCACAGAGGCTCATAGCAGGTGCCAGAATCCTTGCAGGTGAATGCTCTACAGTCTCAGAAGCTGTAGTTCCCTAGCTGAATGGTTAGTTGCACGCCTTTTGTGTAAAGCTGTTGAGACCAGCGGGAACGCTCAGCCTGCCCTCACAAACACATGCTGCAGTTGGGCCCTAGGCTGCTAGTTAAATGTAGCGGAATTCTGCTACAGATCTGAGGAATGATTTGTGAGGAAAAATAACATTGCAACCCCAAAAGAGCTGCGCTGGCGCGACTTCCAAGACCTGTGTGAGAAGGGAGGGATGGAGGACTTCTCTAGCTGAAGATGCCCATCCTTTCCCCCAGAAGGACTGCAGAGCTGTGTTGCTACTTTGTCAAAATGATTTATACTCTTAAACTCTGCTGCACTCAGACTTTGAGGGGTTGTTCCCCATGGGCTGAAGTCTTAAGTTAAAATGCTTTCAGTTGTAATGAACAGTTGTACACTGTAAAGATGTGAAAGTGTGGATTTTCTGTTTTACTTGATGGGGCTGCTGCTGTTATTTATTTATTTATTTGAATAGCTTTTGTACCGAAGTGACTTGGACATGGGATTATGACAATATTGGAGGTGCTGGCTGAGTCCTTCCTTCCATTGATCACAGGAGGTAATTGGGACTCGCTGCACTGGTGGCTCTTTCCTTGCTTAACGAGCAGTGTTTCAGATCCCTCCAGCAGTGAACGTGTTGGACGATAAGATGAAGATGCCTGCTCTTTTGTAACAACCCCATGGGTCCCCAAAAAGTGAGCAAGCTGTTTTGTTAGTACGGGGTGTTAATATTCATTAATCTGGAAATGAACAAAACTGACAAAATGTTGTATGTAGAAACATGAGTGACTGATAGGTAGAACTGAATTTGAGTAAGACTACAAGGTTTGGATTTTGTGGGTTGTTTTTTTTTTAATGCTGGTTATTCTCGATTTTTATCTATATAACTTCCGTGTGAAATAAAAACGTGTTCTGCTTTAAAATGTGATATGGTCATTACTTCATCTTTTACATCTCCATGAAGAAATACTTCATTTATTGCTTTGGAGGACAGGTATCTCTGCTGAGACAGCACTTCTGTCTCTTGTGTGGGCAATGGAAGGGATTCATTAAGAGAACAAACTAGAACCTTTTGTTTTGAAAACAATACCCTGTTCAACTCAAACAGGTAATTACTTTTTTTTCATAATGGGATTGTGGGTTATACAACATCATATTTGTAATCAGCTGCATTAGATATTCTGCCTTCTCCTTTTTGTCTCATAGGGAAGGAGGGCACTCAACTGAGTCAGAGACCGAACCCAGCTCCTACAGCGTAGCTTGAAGGTGCCTTTTTTGTTATCCTCAATTTATATGGAATTTAAATGGAAAAGCTTTTTATCTCTAATCATCTTGAACATCTATGGTCTTTAATCCATTTAGTGCAGTGATATAATATCCATACCCACAGGTATACTGGGATAAAACTGCTTAGAAAGGAAAACAATTCTAGTTGGAAAAAAGTGTCTGGGTCTTGGACAAAATTTATCATCAGAATGTGCCCAAAGTGCTTTTAGGAATAGGCAAATAGTAGCTTGGGCTTTTTTGTATAAAAAGGGAGACTCAGGGGAAGTTTCTCTTCTGCCTGATCTGGAGCAGAAGCCTCCACCAGTGTAGCTGCACCCTCATGAGCCAGCTGTTGGTAGAGATGTGGCATTGGAGGTTTGTCTCATTGTGCATAGGAAGAGTTTTTAGGGTGGGAAACTGATAAAATAGCTAGTCACAAAGTGACATTCACAGATCAATTTGAGACTTTATAAATAGCTGGTGAGAAAGGTGTGGTATATTCACAGAGTACTTTAAGATTTTTTTTGCCTTTAAGTTAAATTGCTAGCCTACTCCATGTGCTAAGATGATTCATTTCTTCCCATATATTCTGCCAGTTACAAAATTCCAAAAGGGATTTTGCCATCCAGTTCTGGAAGTTACTGCATGTGTTCCTTAATAGTATCCCTGGAACAGCAATGAGAATCCTTCATCTGTGTTCATGCCACTGTTACACTACCTCAGACTTAGGCAGCGTTTATGCTTGGGAATCCATTCAGTTGCTGCTGCTGGGTTTCTCCAGTGATGGATGTGTGGAGTTGTTTGCATGAAAAGTGCTGCTCTAGGTTATGTAGGCGTAATGGGGTATAAAAGAAATCAGAGTACATTTAGAGCAGTTGGAGGCTGACTGTTCTTCACACAGAATTCAGTTGAGAAAGATTGTTCACAGTCTGATGAAATTATTAGGCCTTGATTTGGTGATGGTGGTAATCTCTGGTTGGACTGAAATTTTACAGCCTGCATATTATATGGGGGTTTGGATTAGATCATGCAATGATTTCTCCTGGGCTTGAAGTTTCTCTGATAGGCTGTCCTTATTGCTGCTGTTTTGTGCTCCCAGCAAATCCATTTTGATTTTTTTATATTCTCTGCTAAAGTAACAGTGCCGTAGTTATGGACTGTTCCTCCACTCACAGACTTCTGTGCCTGCAAGGTGACTGCAGGCACAGGGCTCCATTTCTTTTCCTGAGAGCTTTGCACCTCAGTGCTGTGGGGCACTGGTAACCTTGAACTACATTCTCTCTCATGCAATCTTAAAAATGTGACTGCCATCCTTACCCAGGAGTGTACTGGACGGATAAGTGTTGAAGGTCGCCCTCGATGGTGCACTGAACTAGAAGGTTCTGTGCTTGAGTGCAGCATTCACTGCGAATTTTTTAATCCAGTGAGAAATGGAAAATGTTTAAGATCTCTTTTAAGTGGAACTCCCACTGCAACTTCGTGTTGTAAAGGACTCTTTGAGTGTAAGTGGACCTATTCTGTGCCATGTTTAAGGGTACATACATGTACATCTGCAGAATATCTTTCTTTGTGGCTGTTAGATAATTATCCAGATGTAAATAAGTCTCTATTTATTTATTTTCCTGGAGAGCTATCACAGAATGGCCTGGGTTGGAAGGGAACTCAAAGATCATGAATCTCCAACCCTCCCATCACATGCAGGGCTACCAACTTCCACATTTAATGCTAGACCAGGCTGCCCAGGGCACCATCCAACCTGGCTCTGAACATTTCCAGGGACAGGGCATCCACAACCTCTCTGGGCAGCCTGTGCCAGCACCTCACCACTCTCATAGTAAAGAAATAAATATATCTGCATGTCACAGTATTTAAGGGGGGAAAAAAGGGGGTAATCAAGTATGCATTAGTGTAAATAGAGACAAAGGATGAGGAAAAAATGACAGTTGCTAGAAATCATTGAGAAAAGCAGAAAGCTGGCATCAGAAACACTGAATACCTATTGCCTAAAAATAGTTGTTTCCTGTGCTTCTGTTAATAGTAAGAAAACTCCAAACCACACAGATAAAGCGTGTTGTGGGTGAAATGTTGCTGTGGGAGCAGGGAACCATAGAGTGGTTGGTCATTCTGCATCTCTAGGAATCACTGTGTCCCCACTGCAATTGCAGATTGTGTGCATGGATAAAAGAAGCCAAGGAGAGAACAAGCGAGACATGGAGATTGTGTTCCACTGCCTCCACAGAAGACTGCAGCCAAGAGCTTGTCCAGATGTCATCTGAAAGAGAGCAATGTCCTTTGGCTATGAAATGCTACCTACAGATAGAAAAAAAGAAAATGCAAACACAGAATCTTGGAAGTCCGTTTTGGATAAGGTGTGGGCATGTCCCCATGGAGCCCAGCCTGAATTTCTTCCATCATCTTTAGGTTGCCGTGGTTATGCGAGCCTTGCTTCAAAAACAGATGTCAAAGAATCCTTCGTACTCTGTTATTTGTTTACTTATCAACACACTAGCTGATTTCTCCAGTTCTAATCACGTGCCTAGTGTGTCTTTAAAAGAAAATGAATTAAAACGTATGTCTCATTTTTCCTTACCCCCAGAGATCAATTTCTTGCATAAGCCTGGCTCCGAGTTCGTAGGGTTTCTCCCAAGGTTGTGGGGTGCAGATTTCATATTTGTTAGGAAATTGTGTTGGGTTTTTTTGTTGTTGTTGTTTGTTTATTTGTTTGTTTTGTGGTCTGAGATCTGTGACAATTTTTCTTTGTTTGTTTCTAAGAAAGATTCACAGAAGGCAGAGCCTTAGAAAGGTTATATTGGACAGATGAAGTATGGCAGAGTTGAGGTACAGTTAAGTCGACCACCTTTTCTATCTTAGTGCTTTAGCAATTGTACCCACAGGCTGCAGTGAATATCTAGTGAATATCTAAAACCTTCAGACATTGTTTCTAGGATGTTATTCTCCTTTTACTTGTGGAACTGAGGAGAAAACATTTGAAGAATCCAATAATTTTATTTATGTCCTCGCCATTTAAGTTTATCTGATACCCAAATCCTTAACAGGTGGCCTGAATTTCTCAGGTTATTCAGAAAGTAGCAGCAGCTCATTGAGGTCAGAACTCAAAGCAGCAGCCTGAGTTCATATGCTAAATCAAGAGGGTCACAGCTACGTTTGTGTACATATATACATGAGTTGCAGCATAAATAGGGATCAAGCAGAAAGAGAGCTGGACTTCACTTCTCAGGGGATATGGAGATTCTGGCTCAAAAAAAAAAAAAAGATGAAGTGTTCAATAACTACTGAATTTTCATGATTTCGTTTCTGTGATAGGAAGGGTAGTTGGCACGTACTGCACAGAGCAGCCAATAACATCCAGGCTAAACTTAAAGAAGTGGGTTTCTTCTGCCTCCTCTGCCAAACACAATGCTGTTATTTCTGCTGCAGGGGACGGCATATTATATTTGAGTCTGAGTCATTCAATTTGCTGCAGGCCACGTGAGACTTCAGCTTAATAAGTACAGCAGGTTCTGAAGCTATTATTAAATCACTCCTATCATCTGGTAGGAAACAGCTGAACATCGTGTCATTCCATGACAGAATCTGCATATTTGGTTTTCCACTGGTACATGGGGCTAATAACCGTGTAATGGAGGGGTACAGCTTAGCTGTTGCTGTTGGGAGTCTTGGTAAAGCTTCTTCCCCTTCTCCTCTGGCTGCAGTTTTCAAGTTATCTGAAAGGAACAAAGCATCTAGCAAGAGAATAGAAGAGCTCTCAAAATCTTATCGTGTGCATGTTCTCTGTCCCCAATAGAAGAAAGTGAAATCAGGGTCCTCTGTGCTGTGGCGATTGCTCCATCGAAGCGTGGGTGCATACATCTCGGTGCCAGCATCCTCTTTTCTCTCTTCGGGGTTAAGGAAGTTTGCCTGTTTGCTTTGCACTGAGGAGAACATATTAGCACAGCTGGTCAGCGTGTCTGCATGCAAGATGTAGTTGCATAAAGCAGCGAAATACAGCGAGAAGCCACCTGCTTTCCTTGCTCTGGTATTTACATTGGCAGGTCTCAAAAGTGGGGCCACCAGCACAGAAATGTGAGATGGGGCTGTGTGATCAACGTGATGCCTAAGGATGTGTGCTTTACTGACTGATATCTGTGCTAGAGCTGTTTCACAGTCTGACTTCTCATATGCTCCATTGTCAGGGGACTCTGACCCAGGCTCCAAATTTCAGTAAATAATTACTTGAGGGGAATGAAATCCCTCTCTAGCAAAGCACCTAACAGTGGTGAATCCATTAAACTCCTTGACCACTTGGAGCAAAGCTAACACGTCTCATTCTCAGGATGATTTTCCCAGCACTGTCGTTTGAAGTAAGACCTCTCAGTAGGACAGTTGATGTAAGCTGGTCAGTAGCAGGGAAAAGAGATCTCCTGCATTTGCCTGCTTGAAATCCGCTAATAGAATAATGCATCTGTCGAATCAAGGTCTAAATCTCATTCCCATTGTGTCACTAGAAAGGAAATGTTATTCCTCAGCACAGGCTGATTCCTATACACTGTTTTTTCAGAATAGCCAGACCCATGAAAGCAGATAAAATGAATGACTAGCAGCCCCAGTACGTTCACCTACGCATCCCTTCTGTGTTGTTTCTGCTGTCTCT